CTAAAAATTGAACGAAAAAAGAAGAGCATCCTATTGCCTTTGAAAGTCATAGATCTAAAATCTATGATGTGCAAAATTCTTGAATATTATTTCCACAAATCTGGTCTTTTTGGTGAAATTTATTCTCTCAATCGCCACATAGCACTTGGATAATATATTCGATTACGACTCAATTGAAAATCATAATTCCGAAATTTGTTGACTGGTTTGCATGTTTGACTCGTAAGTCCATATCTCAAAACCAGTTATAATACGGTTTATGAATATTTTGTCAAAATGGATTCATCCTATCAGATCTTTCAGCACGCATCGAAAGATGACGCAACATAGCCAAATAATCGTTTCAGTATTAACGAAAGTGACTGCCTCTCTCAGACTTAAAAAAAGATTTTCAGACAATTTTTTCTTTACTTCAGCGATGTGAAGTTCAGTTGAAGAAGTTGATTGTCAAACAAAGTAAGGCAAGTCTTTCACCACATCTTAAACTATGTTTTACCGTATGTGTTATTTAACACACACTCCTCCATGCCATTTCAATTACTCTAGTATTAATACCAGTCTTCACGATCTCTCAAATAATAAATCTTCTACCTCACCAGAGAAATTTCAAAAAAAAATTTTTGGAACTTAAAATATCACTTTCATCATACACCTTTCTCTTTACTGATGATTCAAAAGCGAACTACTTAAACTCTTTTAAAATTACTTCTTCCGACATCGTCATTAATCAGGCACTCCTTCCACCATTTAGCTCTGTTTTTTCTGCTAAAATTATAGCAATTTCTAACGCCTTAAACTTAGTAAAACATAAAAATGCAAACTATTCCATTTCTTCAGATTCCCTAATTTCAGTAAGCACAATTAGTAATTCTCCTAATATAAACTACTATGCAACTAGCATAAGAAAAATAATTTCTGTTAAATTTCTAAAATTACTTATTGTCTAGGTTCCCAGTCATCAATTAATAACCGGAAACGAAAAACATATCTGACGCTCTTGAATTCATCAACATTTTCTTTAAAGAAAAATGTGAACAATCAACCCTCATAAAAACAACATTTATAATTACGCAACCGATGGTATACCCCTCACACGTTAGGGGTACAGCACTCCAAATTTATTCGCCTACGTCTCGGGCATAGTCACCTTACACATAAACATCTTTTTGACATTTGATTTTTATCCAGATGTCAGTTTTGTAACACAGAGTCTTCTACGTCAATAATTCACATCCTTTTCACTTGTTCTCACTTCTCACATCATAATAATTTCTGTAATATCTCGATATCGAAACCCAAAGGGGAATAGGTTAAAAAAAGAACTAACTTTTTTAAAATAATTAAGATGTACGATATACAAATATAATAATTCTGTATCATATTTATAATGTTATACTATGTTTAGACTGCCAAATTTCCTTAATTGCGTAAAAATAAAATAAAGGTAATTTCGAAAGTGTTTATACTGCACTAAATTAAGGAAATCATATGTTTTTTGTTTACAAATTGAAGGTTCAAAATTAAATGCTCAAAACACCATTTTTATCTAGAAAATTTTAAAACTTGATTATTATAACTATAAAGGATGGCATTCAGTGGTTTTATTAGCTTTAGTGGATCTCAGATTTGTGGATTATTATTTTTCACTGTATTTTAAATTAATAACAGTTATAGTTTTTTCTTTATATTCAAATTTAAAAATTTGCGCAACTTTCAAAATATTTTCCCGGTTTTATTAAAGTCAACCATTTTTCTTAAAATCATTCTAACCTTTAGAGTGAATTTTGTATGAAGAAAACAACTTAATTTAGCTGAAACAAAGACGAAATTAAGCTTTTTGTGAAATGAAGGTGTGTCTAAATATGGTATTATTATTATAATTTACAATCAATGTATAATATAAATTTAGTAGCTTAAGGCCTTATTGCTATAGCTCTATGCTCTATAATATGCATACTATTACTATACTATGCATGTTAAGTATAAATAAATGACTAAAACGGTGATAAAAAAAACCATACATATGATTTTTTTTGGTGTGAAACCACGGTACACGGTTGCCACTTATGGTACTTTAGTACCAAAATTGGTACTTTTTTTTTTTTTTTTTTCGTTGGTACTCATTTTCAAAAACTGGTACATTTTTGACGACCCAATTTTATTGTGGATATTTCCAATTAATTTTTTTATAAATGCAACTTTGCACTATTTTATATTTTGTTCATTTATAACACTATGAAAAACACAGAACGAAAAACCAAATAGGTTCAAATAAATTTTGGACCTTTTTTTACAGAAATGGTACCTTTTTAAACCAATTTTGGTACAGGAAAAAATTTTCAAGTGGCAACCGTGTGTGAAACGTCATTTCTACTACAATATTCTGTACCACTTATACTCATTAAAGAAGATTCATTAATCTTCTAGTACTTTTGAATGAAAGTTTACAAATTTAAATGCTTTATTCGTTTCACATAAAGTATGATTAATTTAATTTTAATTCTCTTCCTTCTCTTACATTCCGATTTTCTTACTTACGTAAATCTTACTTGCGTAAAGTGTCGCAAATGGATTGCGGCAAATACGGAGAGAAGTACACTTCAAAAGTCTTAAAATATGTATCTAAGAGCTACTGTAGCTAACCGCAGCAAACATATGGTGGGCAACAAAAGATTGATTTGATTGCACAAAATTGGTTGTAGTCCATAACTCACCACCCATGCAATTTGAAGAGTGATCAAATCGACACCAAAGTAAAATGCAATTTGAAAATAAATTTTTCCATAACGGATACTCACGTACACTACGCGTCGCCCACAATGCCCGAATGAAGTTGTAGGCAGCAAAATGACAGTAGTAACGAGAGTAACCGAAAGTGTGTAGGCAACAGATGCAAAAAGAACAGTAATAAACATTGCCACAACTGCACTGTACGATATAACCAACAACAACGACAAAGCAACAACATTGGTAACAGCAACAGCAACAGTAACAGCAACAATAGTGATACAGTGATAACGACAATGGCAACAGGATGTAAAAAGTTGGTAATGTAAAACCTACGCACGCACACGTTTCCAATAAGCCGCAAAGGCGAAACCATTTACTCGCGCCCCCACATTTACAACCATACACCATACACGCACACACCAACACATTTCACACTCAATGTAGACATACAAAAGAACAGAGGCAATTACATATTTGATGAGGAGCAATGCGATGATGACTATTCTGCATCCTTTTCCCAACTTTCACTGGTGAAACTTAATTTCATTTCCGCCTACAAAACGGAAAAAACAGCAACTTTACACACTTCAGGCAATAAAATGTAACGATGTGAAGGAACTCTACTTGCAGTCATGGCAACATTTATTTCAAATAATTTTTTCTTTTCTTTAAAATAGATGAATAACGTATCTACTGGTTTCATACAGTCATCGTAAATGAGTAAGTCCAGGAAGTTGCTAAATTTTTTTGCTTAATTCGAAGTAGGTCCTGAAATGTACCACTGCAGACTGATGAATCATGTAACGTGTATTATGTTTATGTTGAACCTTTTCCGAGTTAGTGCATCTAAGCACTTTTACTCTTTGGTAGCTGAGGGGTGTCTGCAGAGTCCTACCCATCTCACTGACTAATTTGAGTATTCCTCATAATCTTCGTAATTACCTATTCAATGACTGACCTAAGATTTGCGTTCCGCCCCGTGCGTTTAGTGATTACCCTGAAATTAGATAGTGCTAAGTACGACAGTCAGTCGGTATAAACATATAAGATACAAACGAGTAAATAAAACAGACAATGAATAAATAATTTCTTCACCACAAAAGATCAACTATGGTCGCGGTGCTTCGCTCCGTTAGCAGCTGGTACCCAGTTTATTTCTATTCTACATAATATCCTTTGTGTTAGCCTTGATGTTGGTTGTGCGGTCCCGATGCCTAGCATGGCACGATGGCAGGCCTGGTGTGCTCATCAGTTTTGGGGTGAGGTGCTTGCAACTAGTTACCACAGGTGACAACAAACAAAAAAAAATCATGCCATTATCTAATCACCTATATAGATTATACCTATCCTATACCTACTAGTCCTGGAAGTCGGTTTGAGTCTGCCCTCCCTAAACTACCTATGAGTTACAATATGAGTCTAAACTATTTATCGCAACTCCCTTTCTAAACTCAGAGTGTTTTTTGAGAACATTCCTTAAAGTTCAGATGGTTCAGTTCCAATATTTACAGACACAATAAAATAAACATAAATAAGGTAACAGCTTTCAACACAGTGATCATCGCAGATAAGCATAATCGGTGCTGCCAATTGATTTCAACAGAATAGAAGACACTAGTGTCTTCGAATAAGGGCCAAAATGTCACTTATAGAACAGAATCAAATTGTTGTAGAAACTTTTTATCCTTAGAGAGAGTAAAGACTACAGGTTTCACTAATTTCCAAATAGAGCGAAAACAGCATTTTATTGAAATAATAACCTGAGTCATCTTTTACAAAATTTTCATATTGATTGCATATGCAAATGATATTAATATTGTTGGCCTGAACATCCCTGCCGTCAATACAGCATTTTTCAACTTAAAAAACGGGGGGAGCGAATAGGTCTTGCTGTTAATGAGAATAAAACAAAAATATAGATATGAGAATAATATGGAAAGTATGTCAACAAATACATTTTGTCAGTGTTTTCATACCAGAATTACTGTTAACAACTAAAGCTCTGAAGTTGCTCTTAAAAAAACAATTAGAAAAATAATAATTTACAGAAATCTTAAGATAAATGATTTGATATAATTTTTTTAATAAAAGGGAATTTATACAAATTGAAGAATCAGTAATGAGGCAATTAATGTATTGGATAAGCTATAGAAACCATTCTTAAGATTTAAATTTTTTTATTATAAATTTTTTTTGAATAATTTTTTTTTTGTCCTGTATTTTGGTTAATATTGAAAACAGTCCTTATTTTTTTTGTTCCTTAGACCTGGATGTCCTGACTGAACCTTATATCACGAAGCCAAAAATCACTCTGTATGTGATATGATATATGTTATTATTCTGTTATAAAATTTAATTTAGAATGTTAATAATATTTTTTTTTTTCGCTTTTCAGAAACTTCACCTACCACCTAATTGCTGTTAGAAATTCTGTAGGGCTCCTATCTCCTACCTACCTCTTCTTCCACCGCAAGAACAACTGTTAACTTGGCTGTTTACATAAACGAGAAAATTGAGTGGTACACAAAGAATCTACTAGAATTAAAAAACATTTTTTTTTTAATTTTTATTTTCTTTTTCAACTTACAGAAATAGATGAAGGAGGACACATTGCTAAAGAAGCAACTCCGTATTTCAACCAGCCTATTTTAAGTGATGATGACGGATGAAGAAGAAAATATGTGGTTCTTTGGCATCTGGCATCTGATGTATCTTTTAACGTCACAGGTTTACGTCACAGGACTCACTCGTGTAAAGAAAATGATAACAGAGAATAATGCAATGAAAAAGCCTAATGAATAAAGTGTGCATATTTGTTTGCTTATATGAGTACCTTTTTTCTCTTCTTCAAAAGTTTTAATATAATATAATAAATCTCACGACATTCTACGTATAAATAGGTCGGTCGAACATTTACGTAATACAGATTGTATTGTTTAAGTAGCATTTAAAATTTAAATATCTGTTAAGGATTGTAAGTGTAGAATATAAAATTTAACAATTTAATTTAACAATTTTAGTAAACTAAGATATTCTAAGTTTTGGCAATTAGTTTATAACAACATATTTTAACAGCATAATATAATTTATTTCTGGCAACGCTAGTGAACTAATACACTTTATTTGTCAAATCACATTTTTTATCAAATAAATTTACTTGTACGAAATAAATAATATTCAATCTAACACAGGCTATTGTAAAGGTCTCTTAACCACCAATCCGCGCACTTTTACATGTCCTTAAAATGTTATTCATTCTTGTTTTTAACGATAGAAATATTCGGAAGATATTGGTACCGATATTTGTACAACAGAATAAATATTTACCAGCCTATAGTACATGAAGTAATACTGTTTTAGAACTAGCCGATATATTTATAATTTCATATTGAAAATACCTAATGAATATTATCGAGCTTATTTGTCAAGTACTTTTAACTTTTATCAAATGTTACAAAAAAGGATTATCAATAGCGTAATCAACCTATGATTTTTCTTCCTAAATTCTGCCTTCGAGGTTTTAACGAAAATCTGTCAAGTATCTATTTAGAAGTTCAAAAAATTGATTTATTGTCATCAAAAAATTTTTCTTCATACTCGTATTAACTCACAATAATCCTCAAAGGATATAATGACGTGGTAATATAGTTTCCAATCCTTCAAAATCTAATACTCGTATAAAATCTCTGGCTTTAATAAAATATAGCATTTTATTTTTATAGCATTTAGAGCATTTTATGATTTTACAATAACCTGTATATGAATATAATATATATTTAAACGGATATAATATAATAGCAAAGAGCAAATGTTATCCTATTTTTAATCAATGCATTTGATTTTTAAAATCGAAAGGTTTAACCTTATCTGGTATTGTTAAAAACCAACAGATCTCTGCTTGATTTATATCTAGCCACATTAATCCAAAATAACCAAATATAACAGCTTATAGAACCTCATCACATCCGATTTGGTTGAAATGTTTGTTATGAGCTACTTTTTTTAAATAAAAACACCCGTACTTCGCCGAAATATGGAGGCACGGAGCCATTAGATTTTGAGAATTCACATTTTAAACCAATTTTTAAATGGTCTAAATATATCAAGCTCTATAAATGATAGAGAGCTACAATTTGTTGCATTCTAAGTTAATAAATTGTATACATAAAAAACTTTAATTTTTTACTTTTGAATTAGGTTCATTATAGAATTTAGGATCCTAAATTTTTTGATGTATTTTTTGTTGCTCACATTTTTTATTAAATTCTTTTTTTTTTTACTTTTGATTTAGGTTCGTTTTAAAATTTAGAATTCCAAATTTTTAGAAGTATTTTCAAGAAATAATTAACAGCATAACTTACATATTTTATTACATTATATATTGTGTATTTTGACCAAATTCTATTTGCCATCTTTCTAGAACTATTATTACATCATATAACTATATTTTAACTTCGTCTCTGGGATTTTTATAAAGTTTTTAAAATACATAACTTTCACTTCTAAAATCCGTTATAAACATTTTTTTAGTAGAACTAGAAATCATTTTCACACATAATAAGGCAAATAGGTCATACGCACAGAAATCCCAATTTATTAGACTGACAATCAGATGCTTCGTTTAACCCAGTTTTTCTTTCTGAAGCCCTTATCTCACTTACTTGTGTACATTGATCAGAGCTCACACACTGGGTATTTTTCATATTAAGACCTGTTAAGCATCAAATTATCCTTGTGATAAATTCATGTCCTTCACCAGGTTTTACGTTTTCTTTTGTTTAATATTTTTCGCATTTTACCATAAATGGTAAGCCATAGTTATCCTCAATGTGGCACATGGCATATGCTACACTCTTCGCTCTGCCCTCCTTTTCCCAACTGTCAGTTGTGCAGAAAAGAGAAATTAAAACGACATCGATATGGGTAGGCGACCTAAAACCCAAACCTCCAACTTGATACGAATATGTCCCCCCTTATTTTAACTATCCACAACAACACAACACAATATTGTATTTTTACAATAAAATCGAAAAAGAAAAACTAATTGAAAATTCAATAATTTGCGCCGTAACAGTTTTCAATCTTAGCTCATTTTGTTGTTGCAATTGTCTTTGCTTTTGCACGTGTTGTTGGTGTAGCTGTTGTCATTTAGCTCGTAGTACGTTAGTGACGTAACAGAGTGACGAATTATTGACGATTGTGCAATAATCGGCAGCAGCAACATCATCAACCGCCCTGCACCCGCATGACCGAACCAATACATATATATGTTATGTACATATATAGTATATTTAACACAGAATTCGCTTACTGACGCTCGTGTACTTTGTAGTAACCTAAATTTGCAACGACCGCCCACGTGCTGTTTGCCATGCCGCACATAACAGCCGCAGACCCTGCAACCAGTTATATACGATGCAAAATTGGCTTCTCAGAGTCACTAAGTTCGGTATTTTATTTTAATTTTTTTTTT